TCAGTTCACTTTTGTACTTCCCCTTAGAAGCAGAAAAGGCAGGAGAAACAAATGCAAACAAATAAAGCTGCACCCCGGTGAAAGGTCAAATTATATAGCTCTTTTCAAACTATAAAAAAATGCTATGTAAATAGCGGTTATCAGCATCTTTAAACCTGCCAGTGTACCTGTTGTATGATTTCACCACTACTTCCCTGGGCCTCTGTCTGGATTTCGTAAAATGTTTAACCCAGTGGTTCTCAACCTTCTGGCCCTTTAAATACAGTTCCTCATGTTGTGACCCAACCATAAAATTATTTTCGTTACTACTGCATAACTGTCATGTTGCTACTGTTATGAATCGTCATGTAAATATCTGATATGCAGGATGGTCTTAGGCGACCCCTGTGAAAGGGTCGTTCGACCGCCCAAAGGGGTCGCGACCCACAGATTGAGAACCGCTGGTTTTGCCCTTCACGTTTCCATGGGGTGTGCTTATCCACAGCTGACAGAGGAGAGCGAGGGCGCGTGGTGGACTCCGTGGGCGGAGCCCTCAGCAAGGGGTGGCAGCGTGGGGCTGGGGCTCCTGTGTCTGCCCCCATTTCACGCTGTCACCGGCCTGCTCTTCCGCAGCAGGTGGAGTCTGCACCCACACAGAATGCCAGGGCTTTCCATCTCTTCCAGAGTCAGTGCGAATTTTAATCCCCAAACAACAGAGCCAAAGCCCTGGGTTCAAAGCCAGGGCCCCAGCCCAGTTCTCTCACCAACCAAAGTGGCTGAGGCTCCCAACTAACTCCCTGTGAGCATTTGTCATGGACAACAGTTCCCTAAGGCCAGGAGGCGGGGCAGCCCGAGGTTCACCCTCAGAGCCAGGAAGCATTTGCACCCTGTAGCTTCCCTCCTAAAATTATTGGGGAAGGGGGAGGACGGGTGGGGGGGGGGGGAGGGAAGAATCCCCCAAAATAAAGGCTAACGTGAACGAGGCAGGACTCTAACAACAGCAACAGCTAAACCACGTGCTGATGTGCCATTTAATCCTCCCAGCCCTATGAGGTATTATTTATTAGTACTTCCATTTCATACAAGAGAAACTCAGGCGCAGAGAGGTTATAAAAAGAGTCAAGGTCACACAGGTAGGTGGTGAGAGAACCAGGGATCTGGCTGGAGTCCACACTCAGGACGGCTCCCTCACCTTTGTTTGCTCTGGCAGGTAATCAATTGGCCCACTTTTCCTCACCACCTGCCTATGTGACCAGGGAGTTAGCAGAGGGAACACGCATCCACACATCTGAATCTGAGAGTTCTCCCTGAAAAGATCCAATCAACCAATAATCAGGCATTTACAAAACACCCTGTCTCTAAACTTCCTTCTTTCAACCAAACAAGGCATTGCACTTGTATCCCTCCTTTGTTCTAGTTTTCTTATCACCCTGGGGTACAGGAAAGGGGTTCGGAATCAGTCGCCTCACGGTGTGCCACTTTAGCACGGTAATTATTTTGAGCTGAAGGTAACAGACCTTTTTACCTTTCCCTTCAAGATTTTAAATTGGGGACCTTGCCCATATAATAAGTGTTATTATCAGAAACTAGAGGCCTGGTGCACGAATTCTTGCACCAGTGGGCCTGCGGGATTGGGGCAAAATCAGCTCTCTGACATACCCCGAGGGGTCCCGGATTGCGAGAGGGCACAGGCTAAGCCTAGGGACCCCACCGGTGCACGATTGATTGAAGCAGGGAGAGATTGAGGCAGGGAGAGACACGGAAGGTTGGCTAGCTGAGGAGGGGCTGCGGGAGGGCTCCAGGGCATGTCTGGCCCATTTTGCTCAGTCCCAATTGGCCGGACCCCAGCAGCAAGCTAACCTACCAGTCAGAGCGTCTGTCCTCTGGTAGTCAGTGTACTTCATAGCAACTGGTCAAGTGGTTGACTGTCTGCCCCCTGGTGGTCAGTGCACATCATAGCAAGCGGTTGAGCAACCTTAGCATATCATTAGCATATTACGCTTTGATTGGCTGAATGGCTGATCAGTCGACTGGACACTTAGCATATTGGCTTTTATTATATAGGATAACATTTTATGAGCTATCTATAGGGCAGGAGGAACTTCTAATTACTGAACATCAGTTCTTATCATCTTGTGAATGGCCTTTCTCCCCCTCTGAAGCCCCAAGGCCTTACCTTATTCTTCGCTAAGGATTCCATTTATACCTCATTTTCCCTTCCTGTCTGAACCGCTCATGTATGCAGGGTTCCCATATTTATGTATGTAATTAAATTTGGTTATTTTTCTCTTGATAATCTGACTCATATAGATTTAATTATTAGACCAACTGAAAGAACCTTGAAGGGTAGAGGAAAGTTTCTTTCTCTACCACAAGGTACATACCTAGAATGATAGTTCCAGTGACTAATTCCCCAAAACAGCCTGTGACATTTCCTCAAAACCACTCCACAAGGTTCCACTTGTGGTGTTTCCTCTTCCCTTTCTCTGAGGGAAGACCATACTGCTTTGAGGAATATGGGCAAGATATTCCCAGCTGTGAGAACATCCCCAGCTGTGAGCACTCGGATTCAGGGGAAAGAAACAAAGATATAAACAGAAGCTTCAATGGTAATGAAATTCCAGATACACACAGATGTGAGAACATCTGTCCCATGACTCGTAACCAAAAGTTTCAAAATGAGGAAATTAGGCCACCCTTGCACTTGCATCACAGAAAGCTCTCAAAGGCCAGATTATGAGCACCTCTGTTCCTCATCCCTGAAGAGCGTTCAGACAGGGCAGAGCTGTCATTAGCTGGAGAGGGGTGGGCAGAGAAGGGAGAGAGAGGAGGACCTTCCCAAGTCCTGGGAACTCTCAAAGCAGTTACGGAGAGCCACGGTACAAGCGCAGGATCCATTTGGATCCAGTATCAGGCTGCTTAAAGAAGGAGGGCTTCTTGCCACCCCTTCCCCCCACACCTCAAGACACCCTGAGGAAGCCCGTATGTGCACAAGGCCCTCTTCCCACTCACAAAGTCAGTCTGGGATTTTGGAGGCATTCCTTTCCTCTACTGCAGCTGGCCCACACATGCCCTCCATGTTGGTTGTGTTGCAGGGTTAGTAACTCTAAAGTCTAGAGTAAATGAAGTCATGAGTAAAGCTAATGGGGTGTGAGGAACATGATGACATACCTTGTATTTTTCGGACATGGAAGCTATGCAGAGTAAACACAGGACTCCTCATTCCCTCAAAGGAATATGGTCTTTCCCATGTTTCTTGGGACAAGAGCCTCTCATTCTCTTTTGTAATTCCATTTTGGATAGACACACATGTAGAAAGCTCTCTTACTGTAAGAGAAACAACAGTTTCCGTGCCGTTGTCCTCAGCCTCGAGGATGGGGGACACTTTAGGGAGTGGTGGAGACCAGGGGACCTGCGTGCAATGCCCTTCTCTAGAGAGAAGGCTGCTCAGTACTGCCTTCAGGAGTTCTTGAGGGCAGATTGTCTAAAACTTCCCAGTTTTCAATGTTGGCTCAGTGTCCGTTTTAACTCTGTGCTGGCCGGATAAGACATCTCTGTGGATGGATGTGGCCCATGTCTCCACTCTGTAACCAGGGCAGGCGAATGTGGTACAAAGACAGCTCGCCTCGACTAACCAACTCTTGGTTGTGTAGCTTCCCTGTCTGTTGAAGGTAGTGTGGCTACAAATTCTAAGATCACACAGGTTTGAATTTAAACCCTGGCTCTACTTTCACTAGCTGCAAGACTTCAAGTGAATTATTAGCCTCTCTTAGCTACAATTCCATCTGCAAAATGAGCTGATAATACCCAACTTTGAGATATTTGTGAGAATTAAAAACGTGTGTGTGAAGACGACTATGGTAAGTTTCCTTCCCCCATATCTCTAAAGAAGCGACTTGGCAAGTCTTAGTGTCTGTAGATTTCAATGTTCTCATCTGTTAAAAACTAAAATAATCCTCCCGGGATGGGACGAAATGACGCAGATGACAGCAGAGTGTTTATCTATTAGAAGAGGTATTGACTTGACTGCTAACACCCCTTCCTCTCATTTCTAACCCAACAAAGCAGCAATCTGCTCTTTGAATGTTTATAGTATACCCTTAACTCGATGGAGAAGATGGTGTCACATGTGTGGTAACTCCTTAAAAGGGTAACCAGCAATCTACTCTCCCGTGCCCAGTTCCACCACCTCCCACAGAGGACGGTAAACATTGTTAGGACACCACCTGGGCCCTTAAGGGCCACGGCAGTTTCTTCTCTCTCCATGCTCTTGTTTTGGAGAACCGACGCAGAAAATACAATCCCTCACAGCTTCATCTTCCTTTTTGGTCACACAAAGAAAACTAAACCACAAGCCAATTTCACTTACGTACTACCAGGAATTCACTATAACATTTTCCAACCGTAAGGGGACTATTGTTGCCTCTCTCGTTTCCCCATACATTGCAAGGAAGCTGGGGCGCACTTTGGCATTTCCTCTTCTGAATTCTTAAAGCATCTTGACCACTTCTTTTACACGAGCGAATCTGCACTAGGCAAGGTGTAGGCTGAGGGGATTCATCTAACTTCAACCTTCAACTATCACAGACAACATTTACTTGGCGTGTTTCCTCTTAAAAACAGAGGCATTAAAATCAGTTCCACTGAAACTGCTAAGAAATGTGGGTTTATCTTTGAGGAGTAAGTCGCCCCTCCCTCTACTGAACTTGAATATCTCCCTCGAACAATCACCACTTTGCCAAATTACTAATGAAGCATGACAGAATGAGGAGAAATTACATGATAAATCCAGAGGGAGGGGGAAACAAGCAAGTTGGATGGATGTAGTACAGACATTACTCCCCGCATCCCTCTTCTTCAAAGCAGGGTTCCTGGAAAGGAAGAGAATCTCACAGGGTATTTTAGGAGTCAGTTCTTTCCTAATAGTTACACATCACAATGCCAGAAGCAAACAAGATCAGGGCATTCAAAAAGACAACATACACAGATAAGATCTCTTTCAGGCCATAAGATCCACTTACCTTGTCATTTGTTTCATAAGGCACACTTCCAACTGAGGCATACCATGCTTCCAGGAGCGAGCACGGATTCCCAGTGTATCTGGGTGTGTTGACTACTCTGAGCTGTTTTGGAAGGACTTGGGCAGTTCGGAAAAATTGCTCACACATTTCATACAACCTGTCCCTTTGCAGACAACTCAAGCCCCAGGCTTGCTAATACCCTTTGTATAAAAAATGCTGACCCAGCATCCACCTGCATCAACTTGATCCGCTCAGCTCCCTCACACGCAGCAAACACCCTATGCCTTCCGACCAAGATAGAGCAGCACCCAGGAGAGGGAAAAGGAAGACTTTCTATGCGTCTAGAGAGGCAGCCTCTACACCCAGTTTACAAAAAGTGAGGGCCTGTGGAAGGCCTGGCATCTGGCATCACTAGCGGTTTACCTTCCAAACCTACTTTCTGCACAAGAAGCTTCACCGGTGGTGGTGGTGGTGGTGGTGGTGATGGCAGTGGCCCTACTTACTTGTAAAGGAAAATGCCAAACATGCAAAAGTAGAGACACCAACGTAAAGAACCCCATGCCCCATACCCCTCATCCAGCCTTTCGTCGCCTTCCCCCTCACTTCTCCACCAGCAGTGCTCCTCAAAACTGGGTTATTGTGAAGCAAATAAGCATTTCAATGTCAATATTTATTTCTAAAAAACAAGGATATTTTTTAAAAACAGAATTATGACACCATTACCTAAAGTAACTAAACAAAACTAAAATCACTGGTACTAAAATAACCAGTACAAATGTCCTCTGTTGGCTCAATGTTTAAAAACGTTCTTTAAAAAAAAAGAAAAGAAAAATCACACCAGGATCCAAGTCTCACACCTTGCATTGCCGTGCCATGTCCCTGACTTTTTACCAACAGGTTCCCCACCCCTGTGATTTCCGGGGCAGCCAGGCTGATCCCCGCGGGCAGTATATTGGCTGTTTTCCTAATCAGAGAAGTTTCCAAAGAAAACCAACTAAAAGCCACAACCGGAGCAGTTTGACCTGAAGCACCTCGCAGTTCTGGGGGCCAGACCCCACTCACCCGTCGCTGGCGATCGGGGTCTGGGTGGCTTTACCTCGGGGGCGTCGGCCACAGCCCCGCGGCTGCCGGGTCACCGCACAGGCGGGTCCCCCGGTTCCTCCCGGCCGCACCCCCCTCCGCAGGCCGGGTGCCCGCGGGCGCCTCGGGGTGCGGGGCGGGCCCGGCCGCCCCCTCCCGACGCCGCCGGCCCAGGTGAGCCAGGGAGCCTCGGCCAACGACTTCCGGAGGGAGGTCCCAGGTTCCCGACCCGCCCCGGCCGGTCACGGAGGAGGCCACCGGGGCGCCCCTCGCTCCGAACACGGGCAGCCCCGCAACCCCGGGGGCTGCGGGCCGCGCCGGGTCCCCTCTCCCCGAGGCCGGGAGGAGCCAGGGCCGCCCCAGCGCATCCACGTGAGCGGGTGCGCGTAACGGTCCGACCCCTCCGCTGCCGGGACGGATGACGGCGACCCTCACCCGTTCCTCCAGCCTCGCCCGCGGGCGCACGGTTTACGCACCGGCTCCTTCGGAAACGGGGTGCGACCAGCTCCGCCGCGGCCGCCCGGGCCCCCCGCCCCCGACAGCGCCCGGCGCCGGGGCTCCGCGAACCCCCGCCGAGGCGAGGCGGCCCGGCCCGTGACTCTCAGCCCAGGGGGGACCCTAAGTGCGAGCGAACCCCAGCTCTGGGCCCCGGAGAAGACCCTGCCCGTCCGGGAAGCCGCGAGCGGCGCGGGAGCCGCAGACCCCCCCGGACCCGGCGGGGAAGCCGAGGGCGCCGGCCCCGCACTCACCGAGGCTCCCGCTCCGCGTCCCGGCGCCGGGCACCTGCCGCGCTCCGCCCCCCGGGACTCCGCCGGGGAGGCTGCAGCCGGCGGGCCCCTCCCGCGCGCTCCCGACCGGAGGGGGGACCGTGGCGAGCCCGGCGCCCGGACCCCGCCGCGACCCCTGCCGCCGCGCGGCCGCTCCGACCAGGAAGTCGGGCTGGGCGCCGGCGCCGGGAACCTGCGGGCGCGCACGCCCCGTCGCGACCCCGGCGGGAGGTCGGCCGGAGGGCGCCGCCTGCCGGCGGGGCGGCGAGAACCCACGAGAGCCGCCGGGGCGGCCCGCGGGAGAGGAGCTGGGGTCGGGGCTGCAGAGGGAACGCCCCGCGGGATGCCCGGGCGCTCAGTGAGACCCGCCCTGGAGCGGCCTTGAGGCCCCAGCCCAGCCCCAGCCCCAGCCCCAGGAGCCCCGTCTCCCAGCTGGTGGGCAGGGCGGTCACGGGCAGTTGTCTCCAGGGGGAGGGAGGTCTAAAAAGGGCAACAGGACTTGACACACGCATGCCACTAAGCAACCGCCTGTAGTGCTCTATGAATTCCGATTTTTAAATAAAAATCTGCAAATAGTACTTTTACAAATAGCACACTTACACTGCATTGTCTTTTGGCGCCCACAGTGCGACCTGGATATTTGTTTGAGAGGAAGGGAGAGGGAGATAGAAACATCAGTGATGAGAGAGCATCATTGATCGGCTGCCTCCTGCACACCCCACACTGGGGATGGAGCCCACAACCTGGGCATGTGTCCTTGACCGGAATCGAACCATGGTCTCCTGGATCATAGGTCGATGCTCAACCATTGAGCCACACCAGCCGGGCCCCATTGATTTTTAGAGAGAGTGGCAGGGAGCAGGGGAGGTACATCCATGTGAGAGACATATCAATTGGTTTGTTGAGCACCTAGGACTTGCCATGTAAACGTTTAAAATAGCCCTAGCCTGTTTGGCTCAGTGGTTAAAGGGTCGGCCCTCCGACTGAAGGGTCTGTGTTTCCATTCTGGTCAAGGGCTGGGTCTATCCCGCCCCCTTCCCTGTCTGGGCACGTGTGGCAGGCAACCAATTGATATGTCTCTCACATGGATGTACCTCCCCCGCTCCCTGCCACTCTCTCTAAAAATCAATGGGGCCCAGCTGGTGTGGCTCAATGGTTGAGCATCGATCTATGATCCAGGAGACCATGGTTCGATTCCGGTCAAGGACACATGCCCAGGTTGTGGGCTCCATCCCCAGTGTGGGGTGTGCAGGAGGCAGCCGATCAATGATGCGCTCTCATCATTGATGTTTCTATCTCCCTCTCCCTTCCTCTCTAAAATCAATAAAAAATATATATTTTTAAAAAATAATAAAAATCAATGGGGAAAAATCCTCAGGTGAGGATTAACAAACAAAAGTAGTAAACATTTAAAACAGGGCAATTTCCTCCTCCTCTTTTATCTACAGAGCCTTGAACAAGGAGCGTGGCCTGGGCCTTTCTTACCCACCCAGGGAGCCAGGACTGACTGGCTTGCAAGGAACTTGGCGAAGGCTTGCGGAGGAGTGAGAACTGAGACAGAAGTGTGGGCTGCTAGGCCCGGGAACTGAGATAGGGCTTGACCCGAGCTGGAGAGGTCAGAGAGGAATTCTAGGAGAAGGGGAGAGGTGAGAGGGGGAGGACTTGCAGGATTCACCAGGATGTGAGGTGTTTCCGCCAAGAGGCCACCGTGGGCAAGCGGAAGCAGAAAGCTGGGCAGAGAATGCACGTTCTGACCGCAGAAGGGCAAGTCAGTGAGTCTAGCTGAAGAGAGGATGTGAGCTGGGCTAGAGCAGGGGCCATGGGGGCCAGATCTCGCTCCTGTCAAAGATAACAGCTGCCATCTATGGAATGTCTAGTGTAAGGCAGGAGCTGGACATGCCTCACTCCAGCCTAGGCTCATACCAACCTGACAAGGTAGGGTTATTACTCCCCGTACAGAGAAGGAAAACAAGGACTAGGAAGCGGGGGTGCCTTGCTAGTGACAGCCCCGGGAGGAGGTGTCTCTGAAGAGCCAGCCTGCACTCTTAAGGCCTCTTTCCAGGCCCATCCAGGAGGCTGAATTGGTCTTCAGATGTTCCCAGCATCCCCAAGTATCTCCAAATGCCTACCCCTCCCTCGCCCATTCCCGAAGCCCGTGTCACCAACTGTCCTGTCCTCACCCCCCTCCTATCTAGAGAAGTATATGGCTGTGCACACCACACTCCTTCCCAAGGGGAGCCCTGTCTCAGGGGCTGGTGGAGGAACTGTGGCCGAACCCCTGGTGGTTCCTCAGTATCCATTCTCTCCTTCCATAATAATAGAATTGAAGCTGAGCCCAGGGCTGCTTAGAACAAAGGCTACATTTCCCTGACTGTCTTGCAGCAAAATTCATCAACAGTGGTACCCACAGTCCCTCGACACCACTTACTTCAGAAGCACGTTTGAGGCAGCTGCTCCTTCCCCACATCCTCCATCTGTCAGATAGTTCTCGTGGGACAGACATCGCTTATCACCACCTCAGTAGCCATTCCCCCTTCTTTCCTAAGAGACTTTGTTCGGGAAGGCAAAGTGCAGCACAAAAATGCTCACCGTCTCAAAGGTCCTTGTGGGGAAGTCACATGACTCAATTCTGGCCAATGAGATTTAGCAGGAAGTGGCTAGAGGGTCCTGAGAAGGTTTTTGCAGAAGCCACCACTCTTTTTTTTTCTTTTCTTTCTTTTTTTGATGCCTTCTGGCAGTGCGGTTGCTGTGAGGTTGGAGGGGGAGCAGCCGTTTTGTGACCACAGTACAACCCTAAAGAGATAAGGAGGCACAACGCCTACTGCAAACTTCCTAGCTTTAGACTTCTTACTACCTGAGAAAAACAACCTCCTTACCCGTTTAAAGCCCACTTGGTTAGGGTGTATTATAAGCAATTGAATGCAATCGTAAAGGATATACTATTCTTTCCAAAGAAAGGCCTCAAAAATCAATCTAGCCAACCTTACCTAATAAGGAGTGTTATAGCAGAAAGAGGGTGGGTTTGGGCGAGAGACAATCCAAGAGTTTCAGCTCTTCCATTTTTTTTTTTTTTAACTAATGACCTTGGGCAAATTTGCGAAATTAGATTATGTATTGTAAAATTAAAAAGTTGTCATAAAAACACAGGGCACAGTGCCTGGTATGTGCTGAGTAATTAAGAAATGATCATTGAGATAATTCTCATCTAACAGTTTGGCCTCTGCCAAACGGATACCTGGCCAATTTGTAGATTCAGAATCACATATCACTTCTCAGTTTCACCCCTTAGACCAGCGGTTCTCAACCTGTGGGTCGCGACCCCTTTGGGGGTCGAATGACCCTTTCACAGGGGTCGCCTAAATACATCCTGCATATCAGATATTTACATTACGATTCATAACAGTAGAAAAATTACAGTTATGAAGTAGCAACGAAAATAATTTTATGGTTGGGGGTCACCACAACATGAGGAACTGTATTAAAGGGTCGAGGCATTAGGAAGGTTGAGAAACACTGCCTTAGACAAACCTTTCTGCCTATTCAGATCTTAGATGCTTTGTAACAGCAAAGTCAATTTTAAAGTTTCACTAAAAATCACCACTCACCTAGGGTGAGATTATATCCGCTCTACCAAAAGTGCTCTGTAGTGACCAATCACCAATTAATGACACACTAGTTTAACAGGGACAGGGGCACATTTCTTTTTGACTCTGTTTTTTAAATAAGAAAATCTAATTTCAATGCTGTTAGGTTTGTATTTTTTAATCAAATAAGATGATCTAAAAACATGCTTTTTTTGAAACTACAACATATCCCTCTATGCTGAAATTGAATAGCATTAAAAATTAATGTTATTTGCTTAGATTTCTTAAAATTTTTATTAATTTCAGAGAGGAAGGAGAGGGAGAGAGAGGTAGAAACATCAGTGATGAGAGAGAATAATTGACCAGCTGCCTCCTGCACGCCCCCTACTGGGGCTTGAGCCCACAACCCAGGAATCAAACCCGGGGTCTTTCAGTCTGAAAGCCAACACTCTATCCACTGAGCCAAACGGGCTATTGCTAGATTTCTAATTTAAAAAATAATACATGCTTTCAGTCATTACAGACATGTTTAAGTTAAAAAAGTGCTGTAATTTATTTAACATGCCTTCTATTGATGGACATTTAGGTTATTTCTAA